GAATGTTAGCAAAAATCAGCAGAATGTTAGCAAAAATCAGCAGAATGCTAGCAAAAATCAGCAGAATGTTAGCAAACAGAGGCAAAACCCTAACAAAAAAACCCAACATGCTAAACAACAGGTAGCCAAAGCCTTAAAGCAGCGAAATTGTAACTAAAAGCTAAAAAACATCAGCTAAAAGCATAAAAAACTTGCTAAAACTCGTAAAATGCTAGGTAAAGGCTAAAAGTAGCACAAGACAAAACTAGTAGCATGCAAAAAATGAAACAAGCATGTTTTTGATGGATATGATGAAATAATTATAATTTCTGTGACAATTTTATGCAAATAAAGTTAAATGTTTTTGAAAAGTATAAAAGTTACAAAAACAACTCAGTGCACGCATCCATCAAATGAGCTGAATGTTTTGGTTTATGAATGGTTGATATAGCACACTGTCCAAAACACGCACAGAAGAAACTAAAGGATGATAAAGGGAAACAGGATAAAGTGTGAACGCTGAATTTCCAGTTCATCTTAAGCTGCTGCTTACAGCCGGGTGGAAGACGTTGATGGCCTGGACGGCAGCTTTGCCTTTCTGCTTGAGCCCGAAGACCAGGTCGATCCACTGACACAGAGTCTGGGAGACCTGGTCCGACTCCAGGGCTTGTCGGTGGATCAGGATGAACAGACGAGGGTCGTTGCGAGCCCACGGGGGTAAATTCACATGATTCACTCTCTCGCCGTTCTGACGAACGCCAAAATCAAAACCTGTACGAGAAAATAAAATTAAAAAGCCACAATTATGATAAAATTAAACATTTGGTCATTTATATAAATGATTTAAATCCTATTTATCTGAAAGATTTCAGTATGTTCATGTTAAGAATAAATCTTTATTAGTCATGGAGTTCCTCAGGGTTCAGTGTTAGGTCCACTATATTTTACTTTATATATGCTTCCAATAGATAAAGTTTTTAAACAACGTGGGATAAATTTCCATTGTTATGCTGATGATACTCATGTATTTGTCCATGAAACCTAATGAATCCAATCAGTTACTTAGATTACAAGCATGTCTTAAAGACAAAAACCTGCATGACTTAATTTTTTTTTTTTTGCGTTAAAACACAGGAACGGACAGAAGTTGCGGTTTTTGGACCTGAGCAAGAACAAACTTTGCAGCCTTTCATGTCTTCTGGATGGCAGTAATCTGTCCTCCAGTTCTAAAGGAAATAACCTTATTTTGATCAGAATGTTTTTTAACCCTCACATTAAAAATGTTATCAGGACCGCTTTCCTCCACCTGCATAATATCACTAAGATTAGAAACACCTTGTCCAAACATGATGCACTGATCCATGCATTTATCACGTGATCACCTCTCTCCTTTGGCTCGTCAAATTCAGAACAGAATTTAAAATCTTACTTCAAACGTACAAAGCTCTCAACAACCTAGCTCCATCTTAATTACAGATTGTATTGTTCCTTACTTTCCTAACTGAGCACTTTGCTGCAGGTTTACTTGTGGTTCCTAGTTTCCAAAAGTAGAATGGGAGGCAGAGCTTCCAGTTATCAGGCTCCTCTCTTCCAGTTTCCATGAGGCCGACATCGTCTAGTTTTAAGACTTTTTGATAAATCCTATAGTTAGGTTGAGCTATCCCTTAGTAATGACTGCGATAAAGAGAAGATTCAACACAATTTGCTGCCTTCCTTAGATTGATAACTTTTATTAAATGGCATTTAATAATCAAATATATTGCATCAAATTTAAAAAGTAAATCAAGGATCACCTTCTCTGTTGACCAGGAACTCTGGGAGGTAGAAGAACTCGGGGATGAGCTCCTTCACGTCCGTCATGGACTCGTAGGAGGACAGACGCCACGTGGTGTTCATGGAGTGAAACGTCCGGTCCGGGATATCAAAGCTCTGGTCTAAATGAAGCCCAAGAAAATCTAATTACAGATTCAACCCGCTGCCTTTCATGACCTTAAACACCGCGCTCGCTGAATACATCTGCAGTCGCATGAAAAGATGTCTCGGAAGATCAGACGGGAGACGCAGATAATTGAAAAACTAAATAAATAATGGGAAAGTGTTGATCAGAGAAAAAAAAAAAAAGATGGAAAAATAAATTTTAATTTGAAACCATTTGAACTCCGTCAGACTCCTGACGTTAAAACAGTTCTCAGCAGGGTAAGTGATTATTTCAATCAACTGTAAACTATGAAACCACATCGCAGAACTCCAGTTTTGCGTGCTTTAGATTTTAAATCTGCAGGAAAGCGTTCTGCGCGGCTCACCCTGGTAGGCGAGGAACATCTTGGTGAACGGAGGCATCCGGACCAGGAAGTGCAGGACGGTGCCGCTGTTGGAGTAGTGCGAGCCGTAGTGATAAGGCTGGACGGGAGGCATGGGGTCGTCCTCACGGATGCCCTTTTTGTACTCCTCCTCCAGGTACTGCGCAGAAAACACGCATGGGTTTTCTCTCCCAGAGCAACCAGAAGTGTTCAACGTGCAGACGAAACTTTACCCTGTAGTTGTCGACGTAGCGGTCCTCTTTTTCTTTTGACTGGACCGCAATCGGTTTAATCAAGTTCCTGTAAAACCAAAAGGAAGCCACGTCAACACACGACTATTATCAAGTTAAACTCCCACCATTCTTTGGAAAATGTCATGCAGCGTGTGCTGAGGACCACTCTCAGCTACTACCAAGCTGAATTTCAGCTGACCAACTGTAAATCTGAATGATTTTTTTTGTGATCTTTGTGTTGACCGAGGCGGCCACCTTGAACTTGAACCGTCTTCAGAATTTAACCAGATGTAGACGATGGTCCAGTGATTACTTTGAGTTGTTGACCGCATTGGTGAAAATAAAGTTTTGTGATATTTTATTATCACAAAAATCTAGTCTGTTAGAGCCATCTCAGCCTGAAGTAAAAATATTACAATAAATATAAATAGATAATATAGTTTATATGTTATTGAACTGTTTGACCACCACGTTCGATCCTTCTACATTTTCAGCCGAGCCAACAGAAATCGGCCTCTTCAGCCCGAGCGCACAAGACTCTGCTGTTTTGTACTAAACACTTTACTCGTGCACAGCAGAAGTGTGTTTTCACTCTTTACATCCAAACTAAAACAGTTTTGTCTGTTGAGATGAGAGACCGGACTCCACAGCTACGTCCGCTCTCGATGGACGCACCTCTTCCAGGTAAAATCAGTCCCCGTCTCTCAAATGCACAAGAGCAAACACAGAGTGGGCCAAGATAAAAATAAAAAATACATTACTGAAATGAACGTATGTTTTATGTGATAATATAAATATGGAATCCAAACAATGCATTTATAATGGATTTCAATGTGGTCGGTTCTTCCCTGAAGGAACACCAGAGGGCAGTAACGTGACATTACGGGAGCATTTGAAACATTTCTGACAAAGTAAAACAAACTTCTAAAGATTTTTAGACTTTTAGACAATAAACACCACTTTTTATGACAAACGCCAATAAACAAATAATCAAAGAAAATAAATGCTTTGCTGATTCCCCACGAGAACTTCTTAGGGTGAAAATTTGTTCACTGGTTCGTGAGCTTTGCTGCCAACAGACAAACACACCTGCAATAAATACAATAAAGTACTTTAAACTTCAAATACAACAATGTCATCTGAGAGCAGCTCATTTTGAAACGTAAAGCATCGTCGGGGTGTAGACAGACTTTCAACGTGAGCTCTCCCACACCGACCTGTAGATGCTGGAGTCCTGCAGGTCCAGAGTCTCGCTGGCGTAGTCGCGCAGGATGAAGGGGAACACCGGGTACTGCATCAGGTCGTTGAAGGAGCGGCCCGCGTGCTTGTTCAGGTGCGTCAGGTACTCGAAGTTGGTGATCTGACCCGAGCCCCACAGCTGCGTGAGCGCCGAGATGTTGCCGTGCTCCAGCAGGTTGGGGAGGTCAGAGGTCAGGATGTTGTGGTAGACGTCGTCTCTGAACTGAAGACAAACAGACGCGAGGCTCATCTAACGTCTTGATGCTACAACGAACAGAAACATTTTGTGTTCGTCTCTTCTGCTCCGTTTCTCGTGTCTTTGTGTCTCGGTGCTCATGAACCAGACGCACGGACGGCGTTTTGTCCTCCGACTCCGCCTCGCTTCATCTGCTCTTTGTGACGCAAACAGTAAACAGAGTTTCTACGAAAGAGTGGATTCTGCTGTCATGAAAAATGCAGAAACAACTCCTCATGTTCGGAAACTACCCGAATTACAAGTTTGATGAGAGCGGTTTCCTTCCTGCGTAATAAATTTTTATTTTTTTCTTGTTGAGGCAAAAAGTTACCAGTTTAGATCACAGATTCCAGAAATCCCTAAATTCCTTCAAAAACTCTGCTCTCTTTGAAATTAGCTTCACAACAAACTTCTTTGTCTTGTGCTACTTTTAGCTAAGAGCTAGTGCCTTGCTTTTATTAAACAGCTGGGGTTTCTTTTAGCTTTTAGTTAGTGTCGTGTATCTTTTAGCTCATATTCTATTTCTTTTAGCCAGTGACCTGTTTCTTTTAATTCATATTTATTTTACCTTTAGCTAGCGTTCTATTTCTTTTAGTTTTTAGCTGGTGTCCTGATTTAGCTTTAACTAGTGTTCACTTTATTTTAGCTCACATTCTATATTTTTGGCTAGTGTCCTGGTTCATTTACCTTTAGTGTTTTGTTTCTTTTAGTTTGTTGTTTCTTTTAGCTAGTGTTCAATTTACTTTAGCTCATATTCTATTTATTTTAGCTATTGTCCTGTTTCTTTTACCTTTAGCTAGTAGTCAATTTGTTTTAGGTTTTAGCTCGTGTTCAGTTTCTTTTAGCTTGTCTGTTTCTTTTAGCTTGTGTTCTGTTTCATTTAGCTT